CACACACACACACACACACACACACACACACACACACACACACACACCACAGAAGTCAGAGGACAATGCAGGAGTCAGTTCTCTCCTCCAGGAACTGACCTTAAACTGACAACTGACCTTGTCCTCTTGGCAGCCCTTTTACCTGCTGGGATGTCTCTTCAGCCATGAGGGAATAATTTCAAAGATATAAACTACCCAAACCAAAGAGAAGGCACAAAGAGTCCTTGAGAAAGATGGATGGTTAGACAGCATAGGGAGTGATGGGTGGAGCTGGGTAATCCCATTCAGTAGAGCCCAGAAGGCAGGTACCGAAGAATGACAAAGGGCTCTGCAGGAAGGCAAAGCAGGGGAGAAGTTCAAAAGTGACAGCAGGCACCGCAGAGTGACAGAGAGAGGAGCAGTGGGGAGGTAGCCTGCAGCGATCCGTAGATGCTGGCATTCTAGATGCGTCATCCCCAGAAGAACCCCGGGACAGCTGGCAGCTGGGCTTTGACACAAAGCCCCATAGAAAGACTTATGAATTCTTTGAGGAACGTGGTCCCCTCTTTTCCCCTCCCCGTGGATCACATCCTCAGTGACAAGCTCAAGAGCTTAATACTTCATGCTTACCTATGAGGAGAAGCCACCAGAAATGTGAGAAAAGCTGCAAATGTCAAACCAGAGACTAAAGGAAGAGGAGAGAAGGTCTCTGGAGACTCCTAAAATGATTTCTTAAGGACCGGAAGTGGTGACACACACCCTTCGTCCAAGTACTTGGGAAGCATAGACTCTGTGAGTTCAAAACCAGCCTGGTCTGTAAATCAAGTTCCAGGTCAGTCAGAACTGCATAGTGAGGCCTTTTCTCAAAAACTTCACTTCTTAAGATCTCTGGAGACATGAGAGATAGCACAGTTATCATAAAACAGACTGAGGGCTGTCAAGATGGCTCAGCAGGTAAAGGTGCTCCATCAAGCCTGATGACCTATATGCCATCAGGAGACTCAGGAGGGAAGGAAAGAACTGGCTCCTGACTGCTTGTTCCTTGACCTCCACAGGCATGCTATATGAAGCACATGTCTGCGTACACACATACTCACAAGTAAATAAAAAAATGCAATTTTTAAAATGGGCTATAGGGGTAGCAGTATAGCTCGGTGTTACTGTGTTCTTAAAGCCGTAGGTCTCCAGTCTCAGCACCACAAACATCAAACACTTTGTTTGTTTGGTTTGGTTTTCTGAGACAGGATTTCTCTGTGTAGCCTTGGCTGTCCTGGAACTCGCTGGCCTTGAACTCATGGAGATCTCCCTGCCTCTGCCTCAGAGGAGTGCTGGGATTAACGGTGCATGCCATCACTGCCCGGCCCTTAGTTCAGTTTCTATTGCTGTGATGGAAACCACAACCAAAAGCACCTTGGAGAGGAGAAGGTTTATTTAAGCTTGCAGCTGTAGCCCAGCACAAAAAGAGGTCAGGGCAGAAACTCAAGGAGGGAACCTGGACACAGGAACTGAAGCAAAAGCCAAGGAGCACCGGTGCTCACTGGCTTGCTCAGCTTGGCTTCTTATATAGCCCGAGACTACCAGCTCAGGGGCGGCACCACCCACAATGGGCCGGGTCCTCCCACATCGATCGTTCATCGAGGAAATCTCCCATAGACTTGGCTCAGGCCAATCTGATGAAGGCATTTTTTTTTTCTCTCAGCTGAGGTTTTTCTTCCCAGATGACCCTGGCTTGTGTCAAATTAACACAAAAGTAACTAACATAGATGCTGAAAAGAGGGAACAACCAAGAATTAAAAAAGAACATTTGGAATTTTCAAAAAGAAGAACCAATATCAAAATTTCAGTAGCTGGAGAAGAGGTGTAGAAATCTAACAAATCAACACAAATGAAAAAGAAGACTGTCCAATAAAAAAAATGGAGGAGAGAAAACTTGCAGAAAATATAAGAAAGCTCCTCAGAGTAAAAGTACACAAAGAGAAAGAAAAGGAAGGAAGGACGCTCTTCCCCTAAAATGGCACATCACCATGAAATTACAGGGAATTGGAGCTGAACGGGTGAGCCTCAAATGGCAGGAAGGGAAGAAGACACCGATTGGCAGGTTAAGGGAGAGCATCTCTTCAAAACTGGAAGAGGAAGGCCCGCCAAGGGCTCACAGGAGCAGACGCTCACTGCACACGCCTGGCAGCCAGTTTGCTCCCCCAAACCCACGAAAGGTGGAAGGAGAGAACCAGCTCCACAGAGCTGCCCTCTGACCTGTGTGCCCTGTCCTGTATGCCCACCCATACGCAACACACAGGTACACACACACACACACACGTGCTCATACGACACACACATGCACTACAAAGAAAATAAATCAGAGGACGGAAAAGGGAACTGTCACATGTAACCAGGTTGTTGTCAGGGGGAAGAATGGGGAGGGAGTAATTTGAGGGAAGGACTTTCCTCAGGAAGCTATTAAAGGGGATGGTCCGGCAAAATAATGAGAGAAACCAGCAAAACAAATGACTCAAGCAACGCTGGATCCTACGTGCAGCATAAATCCCATAACGAAAGCCAAGAGGCCAGGACAGCAGCAGGGCCTGGAGAACAGCCCCTTCCCCTCCCCCAGCCCAGAACAGGGAAGATGAGGTCCAGATGAGATAAAAGAGAACGGGTGTGCTTCTGTTGTAGGAAATGCCTGCTTAGATGTTTTAATAGATAGAAAAGCATTTGGAAGAAATTAATGAGAGGCTCAAAGAAAACAAAGCAAATAGAAAACAGTCAATTTTTAATTTCAGGGACAAAATGTAAGTTGTGCATGTTAACAGGGCATGGCCGCAAGGACCTTGCTTGGCTCATCAGTGAACAGTATTTGATGACTGACTGAGGTATTGCTAGCCTTGGACCTGTAAGGTGGCTCAGCAGGTAAAAGCGCCTGTCCGGCCAGTCTGACCTGAGTCCATGGTGGAACGAGAGAAGTTCTCCTCTGACCAGCACTTCCGTGCCATCATACATGAATGCACAGGCACACACACGTGCACACAATTAATGCAAAAAAAAAAAAAAAGTAGAGGAAACAGATATGCATGAGCCTAGGTTTACAGTTCTAAATACACACAAAGATACAGGCATGGGAGGTAATGAGTATATTTTTTGTGAGCTTTTTCTCTCGCCTTGGAAACGTAACCTAATGGACAGAGGGAGCCCAGTGCTCTCTCCTGCTCATCACCAGATAGCACATCACCTCCTCTCCCCAGGTCAGCTTCCTTGTCTGTGGGCTGCACAGGATCATAGAACCATAGTTCTATGGCTTTCCAAAGCATCGGACCATTAACAAAGCGTTATCTCTGACATTGTTCTTCTGTTTTTGTTGTTTTTGTTTTTTTTTTTTTCCCCTTGAGACAAGATCTCACGATGAAGCCCTGGGTTGGGCTGGAACTCACTACATAGACCAGGCTGGCCTTAAACTCATAGAGATCTGCCTGTCTGTGCTCTCAAGTTCTGGGATTAAAGGCGTGTGCCACCACACCTGGCTTGGCACTAGTTTTTAAGATAAGTTTCAGGCACCAATATGTGAGTTGAAGGGTGTCTACAGATCCTTGAGCCTCCATCGGCCACACACCCTGTCTCTGGAATAAGGATCCCAGTCAAGGTCTGCCAGAAACAGGAAACCTGAAGTCCAGCTTTGGAAACAGTACCCCGGTTGTGTTAGAATTTCAGACAAACCATGAGTTGTTTTGTGGAACAAGTGAAGGACAGAATTTCGTTATCATCTGGAAGGCACGCTTGGCTGTTCCCAGAAATCCCACCATTATGCTGCCTCTCGCTTTGGGTTCCGTTCCTGTGGACTGCTGGTGGGAAGCAGCTTGTGGCCAGGGCCGGTATCGGTTAAGCCCAGGTCCTGGTAGCCCTGATAAGCTAGGCTCAGGCTCACCCTCAAAAGATCCATCAAAGAAGCAAGTGATAGTGAAAGGCGGAACAGGAAGGGAATCAGAGAGGCTCGTGGCATGCAGGTTTAAGAGTAAATAGAGGGGACAGATGGCTCAGTGGTTAAGAACACAGGCTGCTCTTCCAGAGGACCCGTGTTCAACTCCCAGCACCCACATGGCAGATCACAAATGTCTGTAACTCCTGTTCTAAGGAATCTGACACCCTCACACAGACATGCATGCAAGTAAAACACCAATGTACATAAAATATAAAGAAATAACTTATCTTTCAAAAGAGTAAATAAAGGGCAAGAGGTGCCCGGAGCCAAGCTGTCCCGGCTGAACACAGCCATCGACTCATCCTTGTCTTGGCTCCTCTTTCTTCTGCAAGATGGCTGACAAGTCTCCAGAACAGTATGAAATCCCTTCCTGGGAGACAAGATCTTTTTCCGGTTGGCATCGGACGTCAGCCCTTTCCTCCCAACACGAGGCTCCTGGGGACATTCCAGTTCCCTGGAGTGTGTGTCTCAATGGTTTGATAGCCAAAGGGAGGGACTCGTGTCCTTTTAGAGCATCTTCATCCCTACCAGGAGGGTACAATCTGTCTGGATAAGGATACAGTACCCGTGAAAGGCCCAAGGAGGGTCCTTTGCTCTGAGTGGCACCTCTGCCCCCAAACCCAGGATTTCTCAGGGGTAAGCTGGTGGAGGGAATCTTCCCAGAATTCTAGAAGACTGTGGCTTATCTGTCAATCTCTTCATTGGCTAGACTGGAGCCTTTTCTGGGGCAGGAACCTGGCTTAGCCCATCTTGGGGTCCCCAGCATGATGCCAGGCCTAGTGTGGGTTGCAGAGACAACATGCATCCCAGCCCTCCTGCAGACTCCGCCCCAGGGATGGGTGGCTGCCTGGTGCTGACAGGGAAGGCACCCCCTCGTGCGAGGTGCTAAGTGCTCACGCGGTCCCTCAACTGCCTCACAACGACTCCCTGAAGTGATTCATATCCTCCTGCTAGAGCGGAGGAAACTCAGGGGGCTAAGGCCACAGGCTGGTTATGCAGGAGGGGCTCATCAGGATCTAGGCCATTTGGCTCCAGAACCGGTTTCTTCTCTCTGACTCCGGCCGTCTGGGTGCCCGACCGGAGCACGCAGACTGGACGGTGTGTTGAAGACGGTAAGGAAGCAGGCGGTCTGAAGTCTGTACCTGCTGCTCTGACCCAGATCTCGCTGTGTTTTCAGGAGATCAGCTACATCCAGTTCCCTGGAGAACTCTTGATGAGGATGCTGAAGATGCTGATCCTACCCCTGGTGGTCTCCAGGTGAGAGGAGGAGGGGTGGGGGGGGCATGGACATTTCACATGAAAACTATAACCACCTGTAACCTCAGCACCCTCAAAGAACAGAGCACCCCGCCTCTCCTGTGAATCCCACGGCTATCAACGAGCTACCTAGTGCCCTTGCCATGGATGACTCACAGAACCAGTTCACGTTGGTAAACTTCAGTGTCACCAACGGGAGAGTTCGCTGGGCGCTGACCTTTCTCCCACTTTCCGCTGTCAGTAAATGGCCACTGCTGCTTCCCAGTCCTCTGGCTCTTTCCCTGCCCAGTGCCAGACTGTCAGCAACTTGAGCTGACTGTCTCCTGGCAGGACGCCCCTCCACACAGGCACAGAGCTCTCTTCCTCATCCGGACCCAGAGGCACCTTGCTGGTCTCCACACCTCAGTTCTTGTTCCATGACCATCTATTCTCCACCCAGTGGCCAGAACCATCTCAGGAAAGCAGATTGGGCCAAGCCTACCTTATCTCGTGTCCCACCATTGCCAGCCCTCTGGGCCTCTGGTCCCTGATCAGACAGACCCTGCCCGGACTTGGGACCTTCTCGCATCCTGTTCCTTCTGCCGTGGAGCCCTCTTTTCTTTTCCTCTTTTTCCTTTGTATCTCAGCAATGTAGAGTTGCCTCCTTGGAAAGGCCCCCTCCGCCCGGAAGTCCTGCCCTCATTCTTGCTAGATTCCATTCTGCCCTGCCCTTCCCCAACACACTTACTGTTCGTTGTGACTCTGTGTGTATTCACTTGCTGCCTTGTCCGTTTAGCTTCCCAAAGACTCTCACCTCAGAACACGTGCCTAATGAGTCAGCAGCTACCTCAGCACTCCTGAGCATGTCTGCCAGGGACTCAGTCCTGCGATGGGTACTGAAGATCCAGAACTTAGTCTCTAGGCAAAACTCAGCAGGGAAACAGTTCCGCAGCAGCTAAGGAAGTGAAACGGGCTCCCTTCTGGGTGGCTTTGGGTCCCTTTGCAGTGCCTCAACTGTCCTTGCTGCCTGGGCAGGTAGTCAGGGCACAGGCACCACACAATGTGGACTCTATAGTCGGATTGGAGTTCCACCTTGTTGGCTGAGGTCTTATGCCTAGTCCTGCCCGTCGTCCGGCCTCCATCCACGATGTCCCTGAGCAGTCAGCCCTGGGCTGGTGTTCCCGTCCTAAGGAGCGCTGCTCTAGTAAGGGCACCATGCAGGTGGCTCCAGCCAGTGAGAAGCGCTGTTCTAACTAGCTCAGATGCCAGGCCTCAGCCTGGGCTTACTCTACCAGAACTGAGAGGGGCCCAAAGCAGGGTGAGGTTTCAAAGCCTTTAAAAAAACCTGATCGTCTTAGGGTCCAGCCTCCCTCCAGCTGGCTCGGGGTCTGCTGCCCCTCCACCGCAGGGGCTCCAGGCTGTACCCCCAAAGTCAGTAGCTTTCTGTAGCATCTGCCTTGGGGGAACAGAGGACATCCAACTGATTGGACCACACTGGCCATCCAGTCACTGACAAACGTGCCTTCGCTTACGCTGCCCCAAGACCTTCTCTTCTTTTAACTTAAAACCTTACCTGCACTCAGGATCCCTCCTGTCTGGGAGATCCTCCCGCTCCTTATTTGTTGGTAGCTGTGGGTGACAACTGTTGTCTCCTTCCTGTCACATGTGTAACCCTGGATGTGTCAGAACCACCCGGTAAATGTATTTCCAGTCCCTTCTGACATGCCTCTCTGGGACCTGGGTGTCTTTACAAAGCCCAGTGGTGGCAGCAAGCAATTCGAGTGAGCATTCTCCCGGGAATGGCTGCTTACCCCAGCAAGGAGCGATTCACCAGCAGCGCTCTTCCATTAAAAGGGTTGGATGCAAGGTCCCGGGGGACTGGGCATATTCCCCCATCCTTCACACTGACTTCCGCCTGGGACTCTCATTGACTGGAGAGAGGCAGGAAAGTGAGAGAAGGCTGCCTTGGAGGCCCCCGCCAATCTGGGAGGGGATAGAGCCGGGAAGTCCAGTTATAGGAAGGTGAGGCCCCACTGGCGCCCACCTAGGTCATTCTCCCACAGTCTGGTATCTTTTAACCCTTGAGCTTCCTCCGTCCAGAATCTGCTCCAGCCCTTAGCCTGCCCTTGGCTCTCTGTGGCTGTGGGAATCCCTGTGGCAGAGGGGGCGGGTGAAGTTGGGATCCTGCACAGGGTTCCAGGAAAAAGAAGGACCTTTGGGAATCACATTAGAGGCGTGTGTCCTGCCTCTCAATGGTTATTTATTTATTTGGGGTTTGGGTGTGCAGTTCATGCCAATGTAGGTTCCAGGCTGCCAGTCTTGGTGGCAACCACTTTTAGTCCCTGAGCCATCTCGCTGGCCCTGGATGAGCATGGGAGCCTGAGCAGCACCCTGCTCACGGGGCTGCTGCAAAAGGGGGTAGACTCCGAATAACCCAGTGCATGATGGGTGTTGCCCGCTTATTCCTAACTTACGGGTGTTTCTGTGAACCCTCTGCCTGTTTCTGATGTCAGGCTAGTCCCAAACTTCTGATCCTCCTGACTCTCCCTCCCAAATTCTGGGATTCCAGGCACACGCCACCACTCCTTGCCTTATCATTGTCACTAAAAGCTCTGTCCTTACTCCTCCTCCAGACTTCACAGCTCTAGAGTGTGATCCTCAGTCAGCCGGTTCAGGGGTCCAACACTGCTCAGGCCCTGGAGCTGGTCAGTCCACTGACACTGGCAAGAGGGACCCAGACACCAAAGAACCAGTGTGTTCCTCTGTAGAAAGGAACACACGTGGTCGGGAGGACAGAGCCATGACCCTCTGGCCAGAGGGTTTCCCCCACAGGCTCCCTGTGTGGTGAGATCCCCCCAGCGGTTCCTCCGTTTGCTGGCCGGACCATTTAATTGCTTAATTGTACAGCCAGAGTGACCTGGGGCTTTCTGTGGTCTGTGTGTGAGGCTGTGTGAGGTTCCACCTGGTTCCAGCTGCAGACCCATCTTGTATGTGTTTATCTGGGGGGGATTCAATTCCTTGTTCTCTGAAGGCAGGAGATTTCCCTTCAGAGGGCTGTGCTCTCCATCTCCCACCCCCTGAGGCAGACCTCCAAGGGACCCTCCACTCTGCCCCGGGCAATCTCTGTTTTCTTGAACCGTGGGACTCATGAAGGCAGAGAAGACGTGTGCTCCTGCTCCAGCCACAGAGACGCTGGGGCCTCTTCCTACACCACACCCAAGCACTCGTCCTTCCTTGTTCTTCAAACTCCTCAGCATGGCCTGGGATCCACAGCCTGGGGTCTGAGCCTCGGTTTCCCCTTTCCCTCCCAGGCTCGCTCTGAGGGCCTTTCCTGCCTGCTGGCTCTGCCGCCACGGTCTCCTCACGTCGGGGCCAGCACCCAGGATGCCGGCAGGGTGGGCTACACTCTCAGCCCTCCGCTGCCCCTCTCCCCAACCCTGAGTCCTCTCACTTACGCCCCTGGACCTAGAAATCCTCCTTTCCCACTTCATCCCGGTAAGGGTGCTCACTGTGCACACACCTTTCTGTTTAAATTCATAGACCAACAGGAAAAAAAGAAACAAAACAAAACAAAACACACCCACAGTTTTCTGCTCCTTTAAGTTCTTGGAGGATACCTTCCTATTTCTTCCATGAAAACAAATCTGCCTCCTGCTTGTTTTGGTTTTCATTCAACAAAATGTCATAAGAGTTTCCATCCTGCACCCGCCTCAGGGCTCTTGTTATACTCTTCCACGGGGGGCTACAGCCGAGCCCTTTCCCATCACAGACACGCCGAGGGGCAGCTTTGTGCCTGGGGTTCTAGAGTTACCTTGAGTTGTGTTATTTACAGCATTCTCCGCCTCTGCCGTACAACAGAAGCAGAATATGCATAAATATGCAAATTTATAAGGCAGGGCCTAGCAGATAGTGAGGGTTCGTATGCACGTGAGAGTGTGTGTGGCCCGCTGTGGCTCCACTAGTGGGCCCTTGGGAGGCCAACTGTGCCTCACACATCCACAGACGGGAACACCGCAGAAACTGGGGGTGGCTAGCCTAACATCCGGACCCAGCCAGAGCCTCCAACTCTCCCTTTTGTCAAGTCCTCCTCTCCCCTCCAGTTCTCAAACCAGGCATCATTCAAGGGAACTGAAGCCATGTGTTTGTGATTCAGTGAGGCTGAACATGGCAGAGTGTTTTGTCAGCTCTGCCTCATAGCACGAGTGTGCGTGCGTGTGTGTGTGTGTGTGTGTGTGTGTGTGTGTGTGTGTGTATGTAAGCTTCCTATGGGTCTGTAGCAAGTGAAGGATACATCTGTATGCCCATGTATGTACTGCTTCCCTTCCTGTTTCTGGTAAGAGTTTTTAACGTGTATTTCTTAGAGTCAGGAAATCATGTTTGGTCAGAGAAGTCTCCCCGCCCGTCGTCCCCCCCTTGCCGAGGCACTCCAGTTTGGCAGGCTTCTCCACACACCCACGTTCTGACTCCTTGGAGATGGGCCCGGGCCAAGCAGTCTTGAAGTCTGGTTTGCGAGCCAGTATTCAGAGCAGCTTCTCCAGGCTCCGAGGGACAGGCCAGAGGTGGCTGCAGCCTGTGTCAGACTTGGTATTGCCTCAACTTGTGGACTCAGCCCTGAAGCCGGGGTAGCCTTTCTGAGCACAGCCCTGCCGCTCCTTCAGTGGGAGCATTTCTTGGCCCTCTTGCCTCGTCAAGAGGCAAGCTGAGACCCTTGCTGGTCAGAAGAGGAAACACAGCCCAACCAAGGTTAGGGTAGGCAGACCTTCAGCCTAGGAATTGAGTCTCCACCGATTCCAGATGTACCCTGTCTTGCAGCATCCACTTCTGCTTCCTGCTCACCTTCCCAGGATGCCCTGGGCAACCACCTCTGGGAAGGCAGGTCTGGCTCCCTCGTGGGCTATCGATTGCTATTGGTCTCTCTTGGGCACAGTGTTGACCCAGGGATCTGTGCTGTTCCACTGCAGGCCTTGTACCGACTAAACAGGGTTCCTGAGGACCACAGCCCCTCATTCATTTCCGGGACC